TTTTGCGGCAAAACAAAATGATTTTAAAAAAAAAAAAAAAAAAAAAATCAACATTTTTCTAAAACATCTAATTCTTTCCAATAATATGAACTCAGGTATCACTTCTAAATGAGCTCCAAAGTAGTGCAGAACTAACAACAAAGAGAATAAAACAAAAATGAAAGCATTACGTTCTTTGGGAAATTGTACACCTTTAGTTTGAATAGAGAAGCCTCTGTTATAATAAAGACTACTTGTGCTCAACAATGTTTTGATGACAACTAATGTAAATATTTTGGTGTACTGTATATGTTTGTTGAGACATTCGGCTTCTAACAGGTTAAAAGAAAGTTGGTCTTCACGGTATGGCTGTGTGCATTATATGACTATGAACATGATAATAGAACATCAGAAGCAGAAGAAAAATGACACAATTGATTCAAAACACGCATCGATGCAAGGTCATGTTATTCAGTTACAACTAAGCATCAAATAAAGAAGTTTTCCCCACTGCGATATTTAAAAGTCAACATTAACTGTAAGAGCAACATCTGCAGCAGCAGCAGCAGATAGGATTATGTAATAAATTACCTAATAAAGCACTGAAGCCTGTGATAATCTCTGACAGTTTGACATCACCTCACCTCACACATCTAAAATCACAGTGGGCAGGTAAAAGGTAAAAGACAATTTATTAATGTAGTCGAATGTTGGCTGACACACACAAGACCAAGACTTTGAAAACACTTGCTCCATATTTTTTCTTTTGCAGGCAAAGCAAATGATTTTGAAAAAAAAAAAAAAAAAAATTGTCGAATGTTGGCTGACACACGCAAAACACAAGACCAAGACTTTGAAAACACTTGCTTCATATTTTTTCTTTTGCAGGCAAAGCAAATAATTTTGAAAAAAATAAATAAATACAGCAAATAATCAACTTTTTTTAGAAAAACTTCCAATTCTTTCCAATAATATGAACTAAGGTATCTCTTTTAAATGAGCTCCAAAATAGTGCAGAACTAACAACAAAGAGAATAAAACAAAAATGAAAGCATTACGTTCTTTGGGAAATTGTACACCTTTAGTTTGAATCGAGAAGCCTCTGTTATAATAAAGACTACTTGTGCTCAACAATGTTTTGATGACAACTAATGTAAATATTTTGGTGTACTGTATATGTTTGTTGAGACATTCGGCTTCTAACAGGTTAAAAGAAAGTTGGTCTTCACGGTATGGCTGTGTGCATTATATGACTATGAACATGATAATAGAACATCAGCAAATTATTTTTTTGAAGGCTTAATGTTCTCATGTCCACAGGCCCTGTACTTAAAATAGCAATTGATAACAGCTTGATCTGTTTACCTCTCGCTGGCTTGTCATACATTTAGCACCTTCAATGTGACCAGAGCAGGTCCGACGCCTGGTCCTCCTGTGTGGCTGACAGTCCCAAATAATCCTTGTGAATATTTCCTCACTCCCAGAGCCATCCTTGCCCCTCAAAGTCTGTAACACATGCTCCACTGCTCCAAAACTAACAGCTCTCCGGAGTTGGCGCCTGAGTAGCTTCTTCACAAGCAGACCACTCTTAGATGGGATACCTCCAGAGGAGATACGATGAAGCTTCTGATCTTTGGCAGTCCTGACTCCCGCACCACTTGGACAGGTGCTTCCAAGCGTGCTAGTTAAGGTCTTACCAAAGATTTCTTTGGAGGCATTAACAGAACCAGATGCACAAGCTTCTCGTTGCCACTGGACACGGGGACTGAGGATGCGATTTTCACTGCTTAGATGTTTCTCCACTGCTGAAGGTTTTTCCAGGGTGTCACTTCCTTGTATGTCACTCGCAGAAACATCTTTGTCAGATTTCACGGGATCAGTAGATCTGTGCTTGTTTCTGCTAAAGTAGCGACCACCTTTGATCTCCTTGGATCCATGGCTGAGTGGAGCTTTTTTGGGGTCAAGGTAACATTCCTCCTTTGGACCCCGCACACAGCCACAGGTATTTCCCATAATACTGCAGTCGGTTCCAGAATTGAAATCCCAGTGGGTTGTTATCAAGCGAAGAATCCGGCTCGATCGCGGCTATTCCACTGACAGGAAGACATCGAGTTTCCTTTCATTGACTCGGAGAACTGGTCAGGCACTCTTTCTCTCTCTCGCTCTGTCTGTCTTGCTCACTCGTGTGACAGCGGAATCCATTGTGACCTTTGAAACACTTGCCTGGCTATACTACTCCAGCACAAACATCATAAACGCACACGCAGCTGTGAGCCACGTGTTTGCTGCTCTCAGCTGAGCAAGTACGAAAACTTGTGCACAGACCAGTTTGGGGTTGGTCGATCGACTCTTATTGACGCAGTGAGCGAAATGCAAATCGCAGGTGGCTGTTGTGTTTCCCGATATTTGTGTGTGCAATGAGGTCATGTTAGCCTGGGGGAAAATTTTGGCTCAGCAAGTTGGCCCGCTGTGACCCAGACAGAGTTGCAGTCTGATGTCAGACATTGCGGGTCGACATGAGCATGGCTGGCAAATCCAAGAGAGCTTTGCCTTTTGTCTTTTAATCAAGACACATACAATGGCACAGTCGGAGGCGGCTTTCACACCCAGTGGTTAAAACAAACTCTTATGTGAACAAAGCAACAACGTGACCCAGACCAGGAAGTGATTTGCCATATCAGACCATTACAACCTAAGTACACCACTGGTATTAGAAGAACACAAATAAGGAATATAAAGAACTGATTGCAGATATCTGAACACAAATGTCAACAGGTCAAACTCAACAGCCAGCACGCTTCAAACTGCAGTAAGTGGCCACTTCATAAAAATTCAATCACTCCCCCGGCTGAATTGTTATGTTTTTCTAAGAATCCAGACTTTCAATCCCAGGCAGGAATGTCTTTTATGTTCTTTTCATGTGTATATATGTGTGTGTGTGTGTGTGTGTGTGTGTGTGTGTGTGTGTGTGTGTGTGTGTGTGTTAACCCATTTAATCCCAAATTTTTTTCCCAGACATTTAAAAGTCAAAATCAGGTGTCATTGGTAGCACTTTTAAGTAATCAGTAATACATTTTTTAGAGCCCTGTAAATTAAATCATTGTTGTCCTTCACAAATGTGACCGGTGGGATTAAATGGGTTAAGGAGACCAACAAACTCTAATGTCGGGTTTCCCAAACATTTTCAGGTTTTCTGCATTCAACACTGACAACTAACTAAAATACAATATTGTATACTCATTATAAAGGATAGTGTATGAAAAATGACAATCAAAAACCTATTTTCCAAGAAATTATGGATACAGTATTCCTGTTCAATTATCAATTTAACTGCCGAGGGAGCCGACGCCATTTTAATTTATACCACATAAAAATTGATCCGCGGCTCATGTTAGGAAACTCGAATAATCAATCCAAAAAAAAAAAAATCTAAAACTTTGGAAAACACACACCAGAGCAAACACACTGGAGAGCAATAGCAGAAAAGCACATTGTCGGGTATGCATCCATTGCAAAACCACAGTCCAGGTTGTTCAACGTGACGCGATGAGCATGCCGCATGGCCACTTTGTGTAATCGAATCTGATCTGTGGGTACTTACTCACACATAAGATGACACCGTATGTATTACCTTTGCAAAGATTCAGTAGCCCAAATGAGTACAGAGCTTCACTAGCCTGGCAGTACACACAGTTCATTAACGTTCAGAGAAAAGTCGCCACAAGCAATGAGAAAAGCATAAAGAGTATGCCTCCAAAATTAAATAGGGATGTGTCAGCCAAAGCCAGTCAAAATAACAGTATTATAACATTGTCAATCTTATGTAAGTAGTGATTTTATAAGAAAGCCAAGGGTGGATGTTAGTCGAAAATGATTCATTGCTTTCTCCTGACACGCCTGGGAATCAAGAAGGAACAGGCCTCTTGCTGCAGGATGGAGTGCTGGAGGGCTTGCGTGAGACTCAGTGTTGGCATCACAGAAGCTACCTGTCAATGTGCTGAGGTTTCTAAGTCAAATTGTCTCTGTAGTTCTTCCCAGGCACTCTCGTTTTAAATCTAAGTATCCTCATCATAATGTTGTCGAATATCGCACAGAAAAATATTAGAAAAGGAAAAACAATCCAGGAGCCACTTGGCGTGAAAATTAAATAGCTTCACAATGTTTGTAAAGAGGCGGTGAGAACGTTTTTGAGCTTACATAAATGTATATCTCTTGTGCACTTGGCAAGATGATTATGGCCACAAAAGCAACACAACCATGTTGGACATGTTGCTCTTATGAAAACACTCCTTTTAAAAATGGTTGATTTTTTTTTGTCACGGTTCCAGGAGGACTGAGTAATGAGTCAAGTTATTTATTATTATATTAACACCTGGATTCCTGGTAAGTGCAGCCACACATTAACTCTCTGCTCAGAAAATTCATGCAGGAACATGAGCTCATCTCAGAGGACTCCAATCCAATTTGGAGTGGTACCAAAATACAAATGCTTGGATATTGAACTCTCTTGAAAATAGCATTGCTTTGCGTAAGACTCTTTGACATCATGTCATCATGACCTCATAGTATTACGTATTGCAACTCACGTCTTGAGTTATTATGCATAGAAACTGAGTAGGATAATGACAACGTTGGTAAGGAACAATCCGATCACAATAAATAAATAAATAAATACCAATGAACTAGCCATACGATGATCACACTGACCTGAAAGTGCAGTATTATGGTCCAGATCAATCCCAAAGTCAGTTTGGGATTGCCGTCTGTGATGTCATCATTTCTGATATTTACAAGTTTGACCTAGAAATGAAAAGAAACATTATGTAAATATCCATATACGGCAGATTTATATAATGCAAACGATTACCTTTTTGTGTGTAATGTTTCATTTTTAATGTGGATCTCGAGGTAACAATTTGATCACGTTTTTCCGTTTGTCCACAAGGTGGCACAATTGTCATGGATGCAAGAAAACACGCTACAGTACTCAAATAAAAAGGCTGCTGGCTGAAGCATCAGACAAAAAGCACAATTATGGTAAAATAACACCGCAATCCATATATATTCATTCATCAATTCCAATCAATAAAGACGTTTACATGTTGACACAATTTAGAATGAATGTGGACCGTGGACGAAACAATAGAACGTCTCCACTGTGCACATCTATGACTCCTTTGTTTGGGCGTCACATGTGGCAACAGCTGAGGCTGCCTGCGCTCACATTATCACACTCTGACTTTGGTGGGGGAGGGGAAGCCAATCAAACCCCTCCGAAAACCCACTGATGGGATTTGAAGGCAGTGCTCCTTGGGGGCTCCCAATTACCAGCCATTATTGCCGTCAATTTTTTTTTTTTTTTTTTTTTTTGAGGAAAACATGTCAAAGTGATAAATTAAAATTAAACACATACACTAGAACCATTTTTTTACAATTTCAAATCCATTGTGGTGGTGTATGATAATCATAAATAGACGCTCAATCATATCTCCAAATACTTCTGGACCTAACTGTATTAGTCTATTAATATATTGTCTCTTTTATGACAAAATGAATACGACAATTAATTTATTTAATAGTTCAATCACAATGGCAGCTGATAAGACATAAAAGTAGTTTCAAAGTCCTGAGGATCTAATTTTGAATCTCAGCACTGGCGTTCCTGTGCAGGTGTCTGTGCATGTTCTGATGACTTTCTCTGAGTGGCTTCCTCCCACATTCCAAAAACATTCATGTTACATTCATTGAAGACTAAATTGCCCAGAGGTGTGAATGTGAGCGTGAATAATTATCTGTCTAAACTGTTACATGCATTTGATTAGCAATCAGTCAAGAGTGTTCCCCACCTTTCGCCCTAGATTAGCAAGGATGCAAATGCCCATCCCCAGTTCAAATGAAAAAGGAAGACCCCTTTTACTCTTTTTGCACCAAAAACCAAGTGCTGTGCTTAGTAGGTGCTGAACAAGTTCTTAACGAAGAACGTGTTGGGTTTTCCACCCGCAAAGAGCTAAGTAGGAGCTACGTCATTATGTCATCGTAAAGTGTCCAAACGTCACTGCTTACGTCGACGTTCACCCAAGAGCACCTGCGCTATTAATAATAATAACAAAACAAATAATAATAATGCGCTATTAGCATCTGCTAGGGAACTTAGCACAGCATCGATTATATTTGTATGTAGTATATCAGGGACATGCAATCAGCAAACGGTTATATCTTTTTTAATCATCGTAGATGATTACGAGTTTGGCTGCGAGTTGGGAGATCGCATGCTATCTGGGAACATCCACGATTGCTCTTCTGGTGGGACACAATTATCACTCAACAACTGTTGAAAACATGTTCGTAGGTTGAGGTGGACTGAGTCTTACCTGTCGTCTCTTTAAATAATCAAGTGCTATTTGTACATTCTGGAGCCTGTGGAAACGCATCCTTCCTCTCTCTCGGGGCTGTGGACAGAAGGAAATATGCACGGTGATCAGGTTGTGTTCAGTATCAGTGGACCAAAAAGGAATTAAAAAAAAAAGTTTAGTGGCATGTAAGATACAGGGCGTGCTTCTGCTATCTTACTCATTAATCCGGATTCGATTACAGTTAAGGATAGTAACATTTTCCACAAATTCCAACTCTCAACAACATGCTCTGAATGTGCAAATGATCTTGGTGGAAGCTTTGAACAGGAATGCTTTTCTCCAAGCCACTGTCCAATTTCTTGCACAAATGCTCATTGATATTCGGGTGCCAACCATACAGCAAGAGGGAATGAAATGGAAAATGCAATCAAGCCAGGATGCAGCAGTGGCAAAAAAACATTGTGCTGCATTCAAACTCTCGAAACAGTAGCATTTGAAATTATTCACTTGTGAAGCTATCATACAGTATGACGTGAGATGTAAAAGTAGCTGAATACCAAAAGCAGAAGATGAAAATGTCTTATGAAGTTAGCCAAAGATGTCTTCTTTTAGCCAAATGTCCTCTTCATACAGAAATACAATTCTAGCATGAAAGTGTATCATCAGCCATCATCTAATACAGGTGTCAAACTCAAAGATTAGGCTTGGCCTGCAACAGCATTTTAGGTGGCCCGCAAAGGCAAATCATGTCAACTTGATATTTCTTGCAAATGTTCTTCACTTTTAACAACGCTGAGATCAGTATGTTTTTTAAAAAGAATTGAAAAATACTCGACCAAACAATTTAGGGGCATCTGATTTCAAAACTAGTTATCCATGAAATTGTTGTGTATATGTGATCATATATGGCAGGAATGGGCAACTGACAGCCCGCCAGCTACATGTGGTCTGCGACCACACTCTTGAGTGTCTGAGTGGCCACTTGCCCCCTGCCCCCCTCCCCAAAAAAAGACTTACAAACCCGGAAAATTGTTCAGACAAATCTAATAAACAGTCAATATATGTTTTCCATATAAAACGGGGAGGAAATGGGGACAAAAATATAAACCGCAAATATTTTGTTAAAATACTGAAAAAAATGGTGAACATGCAAATCCACGGATGCCGAACTGCGAGTATGCAGGGGCCAAGTGTACTTTTAACTTGTAATATCACCATTCACCACTAGATGGCAGATATGGTGGCTCAGTTGCACTTGCAGCGGGTTTTATACTGCCCTACACTACAATGTGAGTAAACCTAATGATTTTTTTGCAGATTTGGAATGATATGCAGGAAAACATAGTTCCTCAATAATGTTCAGTTTTTATTTCCATTTTACAAAATGTCCCAACTTCATTGGAGTTGAGGTTTGTACATCTAGAGGAAGACCAATCATACAGTGAGATTATTTCTACACTTGTGGCCATACAAAGCGGCCTAGAGGAAGACCAATCATACAGTGAGATTATTTCTCCACTTGTGGCCATACAAGGCGGCCACAGTACACTGTCATGTTAGTTGGTTATGAGGGCGTGGGAGTGGTCAATCCACACGTACCCCCTTGTCATCATCCAGCACGTCTCCATGCCGCTCAACTGCCCATGCTTCTGTCCCACTCACCAACCGCAATGTCTTCAGGACATCGCGCTCCCTCGGCTTATCGGGCCAAAAGGCAACACGTGAGAAGGAGGACGGAGGGGGAGGAAGACAGACACAGCGGCCAAATCAAAGGAAGTCAGACAATGGACAGAAAAACAACCAAAGAGCAGAGGAGACGGGGGGATAAAGAGGGAAAACAGCAGACTAGACTGCTAGAGAATGAAAGTTAGTCACAGTGGAAGTAACTCATAGGGCAACGTTGGGACATGGAAATACATGCCGTTTGCAGTAAAGCATATGATGACATTATGATTACAGTACTGCGAAAAGGTTTTAGGTCACCATTAGATTTTTGTCGCTGTCCAGTGAAAAAACATGTATGTCCATTTTTGTTGTCGTTTTGAAATGTTTACGTTGAGAGGCACAGCGACCATTTGTCGGTTTAGTTAAGATGTTATCACTGTACACATGATATAATAATTTATCAGTTCTATATTTCACTATTTTATTCACCTACAGTGTTTCTTTGGTCTGTCTCTTGGCCATTTGTCATTGGCTACATGCATTGAAATGATCAATGAAGGCTACTCAAACATGAGAACACAATCATACAATAAAAAACAAAGGTTCAAATGTGACCTCATCTCAGAGTTAAATATTACCGGTACAATTCAATTACACATTTTTTTTTTACAAATATGTATAGTATTATTATGCAACAATATAATGGCAAGAGAATGATAATGAGGACATAATATTAAAGTCATTCAAGTCACCTGAATGTATTCTATTTATTGTTACATGTCATGAGATTACATGTCAAAATGCTTTCTGTTAAAAAAAAAAAAAAAAATTAAAAAGGAGTAAATAAAACAAGCAAGTTGGTGGTGGCCTAAAACCTTGGAACAGTACCGTATGAATAGTCTACTGACATGTTAAGTGAAGAATGAAACACTTGGTAACAGGCCGCAGCAGCACCACAGTAAACTATAATTATACTGTATGTACTCGCTTCACTTCACAAATTTGTATTTATTATCGTAATAAAAAAAAAAGAACCAACATTTTTCAAAATTATGTCTGTTCCTTAACTTTACTTCCATTCCATTTCTGTCTATGTATGGTGAAGAACGTGTGACCTAGCCCCCAATCCACTTTATTCCCGGAGGCTCTCATGGAGAAACGAATATGTGCGCGAAGACACCGGAAGTAGCATCTTGGCAATTGTTACAGCATGTTTCCTTTTACGGAGAGGATTCTTTCAACATTGTTTCCCCCGCTCGGAAATTATCTGAATGATCGCCACAGTAAGCTGTAGTTAGCACCTATGGACAGGAAGATGTTAAACTCATGAAGATTGATTGTAGTTTATGTCACAGAGGGATATGAAGCTTCTTTGCATCATAACCATCATGTGGTGACCATGCAGTGGGAAGCAGTTGGGTCTCACTAGCTCCGACGTCTGCTTTAAGCTAAATAACACTGTGTCCAAGCTCTGTGTAGGTACCGATTTGCCTCAGAGCTTTTGAAATTGCTCATTGCCTCACAGCCGAAAAAATATATTTCAGAAATCACCAATGTTGCTGTCGTCTCGTTCGTCGCTACATGAGTAGGAGGCCCTATTGAAATGTTTTCTCTTCGATGCTGCAACAACTGATTTTCTCACATTGTTTAAGTCGGTATCTGTGATGGAAAGTGGACTCGCGCATGGACTGACCATGTAAACAAAACGCCGGGTCATACCGGACGATGCACACATAACTCATGTTAGGTTCATGGGGCATGGAATAAAGTGGATAGGTCGAGAATATTTTTCAATCCAATAAAGTAGAATTGCATGTGGTTAAAAGAAGCTGTCAATATGGTACAAATGTTTTCCATACATTTGACATAACTATTCATGATTGAAGCACATAAGCAGCCCAGGCAATTGTATCAGCCAGCGAGAGTGAGGGGGTTGGTCTGCTATACTCACAAATGAAATGTAATAAGCTACTGGTTATTCCTAGGGTTAGAAATTGACACCCACCAACTTGCCAAATGTGGGTTGCACCCAGCGCCGATCACAAGTGTGGCTTTTTTTTTTTTTTTTGAACTCAATGAATAATCGGGACATGAGAAGAAATTGTGCAAAAGACGTTGCATGACGTGTATAGGTTAACAGACTGCCGTGTCTGATGACCTTAGTGCCTCCCCCGATCCCATGTGAGCCTCAGCCAATAGTGTGCTAAACTTCAGTGTCATAATAGAGTGAGTTAAACAATAAAATATGTTCATTGCCGAGCCACTAAAAATGAATGACTGTAGTTTGAATACCCCCAAAAGAAAAAAATCATCGAAATCAAGAATTGCTTTGAACTGGAATCGTTCAAATTTAAATGAGGCCCAACACTATGTTATGTTTTGTTCTTAGCTATTTGTCCCCCAGGCAATGACTCCTACATTTCCAGTATACAGTATACTGTGCTGTAATCCGATGTGATGACATTAAATTTTCCCATTGGCTGGGCGAATGCATGTATTTCACGCTACAGTCTACAAGTCAACAAGTGCGAGAAATGAACAGAGATTATAATGGAGGTATGACATAGCGGAGTGTAAAGTGGCTGGTGGAAATTCTGATTGGTTGGTAACTTCAGAGAGTCGCCAACCACATTGGCTGGTGAGCAAAAAAGTTGATTTAGAACCCTGGTTATTCCTATTTCATGCTTTCATTTCATAACACTTCACAATTAGTGAGTTAATAAAGTTACTAAGGAACTTTAAAAACGACATTACTCTTTGGCTGCCAAGTATTTGTCAACTCCTTTGAGCCAATGCCGAATTAAGATATCCCACTTGATAGCTTTCCTCTGATGAGTCCGCTTGTGAGACGCAACTTTTCAAATGAGAGTCACATTCCAATGTGACTCCTAAAAATGGCATTTGAAGTATGCCCTCCCTGCGGAATTTACTAGAATAAATAAATAAATCATGGGGTTTTGGCCACTTGGGGGAGCAAAAGAAAAATCTTAGGGACATAGAGTAACCATGCAGAAAGAAAAAAATTCTACGGCCTGACAATGCACTGCTGTGAAACTTGGAAAGACGTAGGTAGGAAATTGCAGAGACATATATGCTTGTTTGCTCGCTCATCAATGAGACACATCGCTGTTATTACTTGTTTATCAAGCATAACACACTTTCTGCAGCACAGCAAATCATGACTAATCAATGTCGGTGATAACATTATTTTGAGTGTCCAAAAATACTGACTAAATATCAATATCAATACTTACTGAGAACAGACCTCGACATCAACACATTCAATCATACCAAAACATCACGGCAAGAGACCATTAGAAATAAAAATAAACAAAATAGCAACGTACCAGTTTGTCTCCAGACAAGACCTCAAGCAGTGAGATCAAGTTATGTCCATCTCTCAAGTCTTCATACAGGTCATTTATATGTTTCCGTACCTAAGGGAACATGGTCAAAATTCAAATAGGATGTTATTAACGCAGCAGAACAATCGGGACGTTCTCATGCTCCCATGCTGCAAAACATTTGGAAAGTGGAATTTACTTTAAAAATCATTCACAAATCCACAGCGGTTACTCTAGATTTGTTAAGTGAATGTAGAATGAAGCTAGAGAAGACAAGCTACTGTTTACTGTTTTTTTTTTTTTTTTTTGGTCAACACTCACCATATTGTAACCATTTTGAGAGTTGCAGAAAATGTCGAAAATGTTTACAGACACTTGGTGACACTCAATTTCAGAGTTACTAGAGCCTTTCAATTTCTGAAAGAGTTTCTAAACTGCCAAGAATCTTACTCGAAACACATTGTATCATCGAAGCATTCTCAATAGTCAGTTATGCACTTGAACCAGACCACTTGACAACTTCCGGGACCTTCTCCTTCCCGGAGACATTTCTCTGTCCTTCGTGGCCTAAATAACAGGCCTCTACAATCAGCCTCCTGCTGACCTGCTTTCACACAGTGCTTTCAACACTGTAATCCCAAATACCAGCCATAGCTGCAGGGCCAAAATAGACCTGCACCCTGCAAATGTTATTGGGTCAACCCAGCAGATTCCCAACTATTACTCAGCACTTCTGATTTGTCATGAATGGGAGTCAGAAAATATTCACTCTCAAATTGAGAATTTTTTTTTTTAACATTATAAAATACAAATACTCTATGATTTATCGGATCACCGGTGAACTACAGACTATCGCACACTGCAAACCCGGATGAGTTGAGTTTATTCAACAGAATATCTTTTATTGAATAAACGTAATGCGTATTCTTTACAATTTCAAATATGAAGTCATGACAATAATTTAGCAAAAATAATTGTCGGTTAAGCACCACAGCAAGTCACTCACGTGATGTTTGGCACAGTTTTCACAGCCACCCATTTTCCATTCAGGCTATATGTGTTTTACCTCGGTTGAACCGAGGTTCGCCCAGACCGCATGTTACAAAAACACGTATGCAAAAAATGGATCTGCTGTTTGATGTCTTTCGCTGAGTTGCCATGTCTGCTGGTTAGTTATGTTGATTTAAATTAACTGTGTTTTGTTAAATTACAGACACAATTGAACCATCACAAGAAGCAACTCCAAACAAAAGACATCCTGGATGACTTCTTGTGCCAAGTTTTCATAACATCTGGGCATTAACCTTGTGCATGTCAGAGCCCATTAGAACTTGAAATATTTATTATTTCAACATAATGGAAAAAATTAGCATCCCAAATTCTTAGTATCTCAAATTAGCTACTTACCTTCATCAAATGCTGGTTGATCCATTTTGTGAATGTCTTCTTTTGCACTCTGTCCCTTTCATCTGAGGAAGAAAAAGAAAAAAAAGACATGGATCATCGTTTGTTTATTTTTCTGTTCCCATTTACATTAAACAACACCAGAGATGATCGGACATTGCACAACTCGTAGGTGGAAGCAGGCCTTCGCCAACGTCTTTTACTTCATGCCAATAATTAATAGAAACAGAATCAAGAGCTCCCCAGCAATGTGCAGGCAATTAGCGCTTTCCATTTTGCCACACTTGCTTCAAGACGTGATTACATTACATCATGATTACATTTTCAATTCCATACAATCAACCGATTTTGAAATGTTAGTTATTTGCATCAAGCAATTATGCCAAACCAAAAGACATCAATTAGTAACATGTATACCGGTCACTGCTCAAACATACAAATAAAGAAAATGTGTTTCATTGCCCAGGATCGTCAAACCCACAAGCCCTTTCCTGCCCGTTAAAGCAAACATTTCCCCTCGCCTTGTTTCCATGTCGCTGTTCTGTCTGAAATGCACAACTGGCAAGGAAAGGCTGAGACGGGTTATTGCCATATGTCCTATAGCCGCTCTGTTGCATCTATTTTGCAGAATCACTGCATATTAGGAGGCTAATTTCAGCTGATTATGCTCCACCTCAAAACCCACCAGCAGAAAATTCGCTCAGCAGCATATGGATGGATGAGAAAATTGCAGATTCACACTGTGCCTGCTTTATAACCCCCCCCCCCAAAAAAAATCTCTCACTTCACATTCCGCCTCCATCTGTTGCACAGTTGTAGCAAAGAAATGGCATACGATATGAGTAACACTTGTTCCAATAAATTAAAAGAAAAGGGAAAAAATTGCATCACTCTCTGAGCTGTGTCCTCAAAGCAACATCTCCAGCAGTGTCATATGTATTGCATGTAAGTCAGGGGAGGAAAAAAAAAAGTGTTTTTTTTTTAAATAAATTAAGTCTTACATCAACATGCTCTTATCGGTTGTTTGACCGCGACACATTTAAAGCCATAAACCACTTTCCGGATGCATTCAGCTTGTTCTACTGGCAAGCGCTCTAAATTACCCTCAGTGACTGCCAAAACGATCACACCCAATGATGATGATTACTCAAGAGAACACGAGTCAACCTCAAAAACAGCAACAACTTATTTAGCCCTCTACGATATTGCATCACTCTGATCACAACACATTCAGCTGTAAAAAGCAAACAAAAAAGAGCTACAATTGTGGTTACATTAGCTTATGTATTAAGCAGAAGCAAGTACAGGCGTTGCTTCACGTTGGGAGAAAAATACTGACCCATACAACACATTAGAGTTACCAGGTGAGCCCTGAGTTGCCTGTCGGTTTCAAGCAGGTTCTTCATCTTCTCTACCAGCTCCAGCGGCCCCGTCAAGGGGATTTTACTTCTTCACGTACAATGCTACCATGTGGACGAGCGACTGAGAAAACAGCTTCGATTTTCTGCGCCTGCCTTCATACCTACAAGCCTCTATATCACAAACGAGTTCTGTCAGGTTTTCCACGGCGACTCACGATTCCAAACTGAGTTTAGTGTTTATCCAGCAGCGGGGTTTAAAGCCACAGAAGAAATGAGTGCTTCTTCTTGGAAGGAAAGGGGGGAAAAAAAAGCCCAGAGTATTTCAGGGTGGTTCCAAATAAGTTAAACAGACACAGAAGACACTGATGGAACAATGTACATGATTGCCTCACTTGATGAGTGAGATCTTATCTAAGACACCTTGACCAATCCAGATGTGTTCATAATCATCTCCATTGTGTAAATGCCAAAACTCCCAAAATCATTTCGACGGAGGAATAGGTTTTGAACACATCCAAGGCAAGAATAAACACAGATCATGGGAAATCCCTGATGGTGCAATTTTAAGTCTTGAATGTTTCCTTGTGAGGTTATTATAGTGCGGAAGAAAATAATTATAAAGCCTGTAAGTCATATTATCCTGTGTATTCATGCAAATATATGGCATTGAACAAAAACAAAGAATGACAAAAGTTATTTCAAATACTTTTAAACTATATATTTGCATGTGCACATTGGTATCGCGCTTAAACCACCTGCCTTAAAGTCAGGGATCCGGGTTTGAATCTCTGTTGGCTCTAAATTGTACATAGGTGTTAAAATGAGTGTGAATGATTGTTTGTCTTTGTCCTCTGTGATTAACTGAAGACTTTAAATTGTCCATAGGTGAATGGGAGTGTGAACACTTTTGTCTACTGTATAGGTGCCCTGCAATTGATGCAAAAAAAAAAAAAAAGCTTCAAGGGTATGGAAGTTAAACTATGAAATTTTTCGGATAACTATATTTTAAATGGACTGATTCTTCTTCTGTTCATTATCATTCAACATCATTACACTCGGATGTCGTATCCAAACATTAGCTGAAACCACAATTTGCTGACTTTCATGCTAATCTAACATTCTAAAAATAAATGGAAAAGGCTTTCTAAGAATTGGGAAGGGGTTTGACAATTTCTTAGTATGATGGCCTCAACACCGGTTCCAGGCTCACAAGTTTAAAATAGGTCACAACAAACAATCATATCACTCAAACAGAAAACAAAATCACTGTGAGCATCACTTCACTTGATGTAATTGTGCAAACAGCGCTGATGCCATTATGAATCCACAGCAGGATGACACCATGTTACACCTCTTCCCCACAAAGACTGTGATCATCTTATGACTAAATCAATGATATTGATCGGCTCGGAAAGTCTTCCAGGAAAGGCAGCGTCATCCTCATCCTACGCTCAGACACCGTAAGCAACGGATGAGCGGGGTTTCACAAATCAAACAGCTCAGTTCAAGCCAACGTAAATGTTTCGGCATCATTCACGAGACAGTTGCATCCATCACATTACTGAGTCAATCCAAACAACAAAGCAGGACTTTAATATGCAAAAACAGAAAGATCAGAAAATATTTTGGATAAAATATTAAGTGGAGTACAATATGAGGATGCCCTCTTCAGGATCTTAAGAGGAAGAAAACATGATTTCAAGAATATTTGCCCACAATCAGCTGGGATAGGCTCCAACTAACCAGTGATCCTAGTGAAGTTAAGTAGTATTAAAAAAATGGATGGATAAATGAACATGTTGTCACTTTTCTTTCTGTTGTGACAATGTTTTCCGAAGTGGGTTTAGTAAATGTCTGGTGAAGTTACTGTGTACTTAAAGGTAAAGTCAATGTGAATTAAGCAGTAAAAACCCTTCGTCTGGATCCATCTCAGGGCGCGGCCATTTTGCCACTTGTTGTCGACTGAAAATGACATCATTTGCTTAGGGCTCAGCTAACAATCAATCACGGCTAAGCCTGAGAACGTCACATGACCAAACTCAGAAAACACCAAACCTGACTTCCCCTTTCAGCAAATTGAACATTATCCAGAAAAATAATAATGAAGAGTTTCAAATATCCCGTTATATTATGTCACATGACGCGAAGTGTTTTATTCTCACTGCTGTGTACTGTTAATGTCACATGATTGAGTGGGTGTGCTTTGTTCCTGTCTACAACTCGGTGGCCCCTCGTGTTAATGAACCCACCAAAGCGCTCATAACACGCAGCCGCGAGAGCGCCTGGCCCGAGACACTTATTTGTAGACCTCAGCAAAGCACATGTGCACTGCTATAAATAACTACAACCCTAAACCATGCTGCCCCTACAAAGGCGCACACACACACACGCACACGCACACACACACACACACACACACACACACACACACACACACACACACACACACACACAATCTTTTCTGAGACTTTCATTTCCATTCATGCAGCCAACATGAGTGTGTTGTGGATTTTAATTCAGTCTTTGTACGTCGGCTAAGCTCCTCATCGGAAACTCTTTACGGGATGTTATTAAATAATGTATAATCCTAATTAATATAAAGTGCTGGGCAAAATCATTTGACAACCTCTGGCTTTGTTGCTTTAATGACCTTTTTCACAGCAATTATTTGGATATAGTAGGGAATGTACAGTAAACTGGGTTACACTAAAAAGCGCTCATTAAACATAGTCAAGGATCTTACAAAAGGCCATTGAACTCCTGGTATGATAATGATAGAGCCTATCATCCTCCATGAACAAGAAAGTAGCCAGATACCTGACAAACAGACACATGAACACAAAAATGAAAGTATGTCATTGTTGCTTTTTTTCACTGTTGGTGACAGTCGACTGAGTGACAGTCTATCACTTAACATCTAAAAGGAGGCAATACCTTTGCACAATAATACATCAAAATAAGATATGACACTCTTTGTGCATATGAATAAGATGAACTTGTTCAATGAAAGTAAACAGCTGACTATCAGGCATAATCGTTTTAGTTTAGATACACCTGTGTAGTCTAATGCGATCAAATACAAGAAGTGCATCAAACATATTTACCTTGACAAAGATAATAGTGTTTTGATTGACACAGCCACTGAGGTATTGCTTTCAAAGTATGATTATCAATGTGCTCGTAGCTTGCAGTGCAGAACTGCATTAGTCTGCTACTGCTACTATACTCAGAAGTGCGTCTAATATTTTGGTTAGCTTAATTTTATTCATGAGTGCGGCAAACTATCAGACTATCATCGCTATGATACAGCACAGCATACCACTACAAACTATAACCACCAAAACGTCTTTGACAGTGTATAAGCTGTATTTTTTATTTGATTTCAGTTGCATTTTGTATATCTTATTAAATTGTGCAAGTGTACCAAATGAAGACCCAGCACCTCCTTCGAAATATGATTGACACAGACAGTAGTCGTTTTCCTCTCGGCGTCAAGCATAGAGGGAGGTTGTGGTCAACATTTTTTTTCTCTATATATGTGTAAAAGTTGTGACTTTCCCATGTCCTGTGAGGGGTCACCAGAACATGTGTGTTATTTGTTCTTAGGAGCCTTGAACCAGAAGATACAAAGTAATAAAGATCAGTCATGTATTATCATGACACTTAGAGAAAGCACAATGTAACGCAATCGAAGCGCATCTTCT